GAAGTTGTACCTAGGCTACGTAAAAATGCTTAATTAGGCTTCGCGTAGGAAAAGCGCGAAGCCTCAAGCGGAGGTCGTGGTGTCCGTGTGGTGTGCGGCGTGCATCGTCCCCAATTTTGTCGTGCACAACGCGGGGCTCTGGCCCAGTGGCCCTCCGGGTTCGGGAGAAGTGGGGGAGGTGGAAGAGGAAAAGGGGGGGCGACCCCAAGTCAGCGCGTCTTTTTTAATCATTCTAAAGTAGATACAATTTAGAATCTGATTTAAATATGTGTACAAGGACTCTTCTAGCCTGCACAGATTCTCCCATGTGGTGTGTGGCTCGAATACGTTTGTCCGAATTTGGCTAAATATTCCTTTCAGAAATGATGTCAGCCGGTATTAAAGTTGTTTCAAATAGTACATTTTCTTTCACAGGGAAGGTCGGCATATCCGTAAACTCCTACTGCTTCTGGCCAAAAGACCAGAACAACGTGAAGGACGTGGAGGCATCAGACCGTTTCCAGAACTTTGTGGTGAGTTTAAAACGTTAAAAAAGGCTGCAACAATGTGAAGAAATGCTTTGCCATGTCCCATTTTCATAGTATAGGACAGTGGTCCTTCTGAATAAATGTTCAAAATAAATGAATTTCTTAATAATGCATTATTACGAAGTCAAGTCAAGTTTCAAGTTCCTTGCAATATGGATACTCCATTATTCTTGATGATGAAAGTATGTTGAGCGACAGACAAAGATGCACTCATTTAGGCCCCATGTGCTACGACTATCCTACATCAAGTGATCTTCCGTAACAGGTGCAATAGACCCTTTCAGCGCTCCCACGGTCCCCCCACCCCAGCCCAGCGGCGCGTCCACTCTAAATGTAAAAGAACAATTTTGTCCATAACGAGGGAACAGATTTACAAGTTACAAAATTGTTTCGTTAGAGAGGACAAATTTCAATTTTGTTCTCTCCTCATGGACAAACTTGTTTCTTGTTTCGTGGACAAGACATTTGTCCCAGCGAGTGGACGTTTAAATCTGTCCCCTTCTTCGCAACATATATGTTTCCAAGGAGGGGACAATTTGTTCAAGGAACATTTTCTCCCTTCCAATAACACAATTTGTCTTTAAAATTACACGTTTTTGTCCATAGATCTCTTGTCTGCGGCTATGGACAAACATTTTGTTGCTAGTTTAAGGTACAGAAAAAAGTTCCTTTACATTTAGAGTGTCTCTTATCAACGCGATCCAATCAAACCGAGGGGTGGATAACTCCTGAATTGGGTATACAAATTTCAAGAATTGGTTTTGAATTGGCTTGAATTGAACATGAATTGGACCGAATTCGTTGAATTGTTTTTGAATTGGTTTGAATTACTGTGATTTTATTTAACTGATTTAGCGTCAATTGGCTTAAATTGACTTGTATTGAATGTGAATTGCCTTGAATTGGAGTGAATTATTTGATTTTTTTAAATTTGTTTGAATTACTTGTGAATTATATGTTAAATTAATTGAATTGGGCTGAATTAGTTTGAATTGAGCAAAATTAGGGGTGTACATCTGTCAGGGGAGTTATCCACCCCTCGAAACAAACCGAGGTGCGCAGCGAGCGCGCTGGACCACTGCACCGCCCACCGACGTAGCCTACGTCCAGCGCGCTGGCTGCGCACCTCGGTTTGTTTGGATCGCGTTGCTAGGTGACGCGCCGCTGGGGTGGGGGGACCGTGGGAGCTCTGAAAGGGTCTCTGTCGGGGGGTGATGTCGAGGGTGATGGCACTGATAAATGAGTGGCGTTAAGTCCTAACTTTGATGGGCGGCGCTGTATGTGCCCACCTTGAAAGGCGCTGAGGTTTGTCGCCTGATTAAAAAACCAATCAGTCCAATGTAGCTTAATCTAAAACAACCGCAACTTATGTGAATGCACATTTTCTTTTACGGTGCTATAGAATGATAATACTTTTATGATAAACATTGTAAACATTCCGAGTAAAAATAATTTTTCATGGACATTTTATAGTCCACTTTAACAATCGCTTTCCTGTTGCTTTAGCTTGGTTGGTACGCCCACCCGATTTTTAGCCAGGATGGCGACTACCCTCCTGTCATGAAAGAATTCATTAATAGAGCGAGTGAGAGGCAAGGGCTCCGCAGATCCCGTCTGCCAACATTCAATGCGACCGAAATTGATATGCTGAAAGGTAAGTTGTATATCACGGGAAATATTACCAATACCAATAGGCAAGGACATGTACAGGCGTAGTGATTTCCGTGGTGTTCTTCAGGAATGCTAGATTCACTGGAGAGGATCTCGATTCAACCATTTCGTGCGAAAAGTAAATATGGTCCGCCATGGATCAAAATACAGAGATTATTTAGCGTGTGGCTGCCTTCTCGTGTGAGGCATGAGTTTTGACGTTGGTCGACATTTTGTTTGGGCTCCCAGTCTAGGTACAACCTGTACCTCCGTGTAGACAAATTTGTAACGGGAGACAATGTGGGACACATCTACTCTATACGTAAATTGCCCCTTCCCGTTTACACTCTTTATGTCAAGGGACAATTTTTGTCCGTTGCAAGATGCGTCTGTGTGCACATCTTGCAAGATGCAATGTTGCAGCTTGTAAAATGACGAATTTGTATCTTCAGTTGGACAAAGAAAAATTTGACCAACAGGAGATACAAATTTGTCATTTTACAAGCTGCAACATTGCATCTTGCAAGATGTGCACACAGATGCATCTTGCAACGGACAAA